GATTGATTATTTTTATTCCTCGAATGCTTATTACTGTACGGAAAGTTCCAGAAGTTAAGGCACAATGGCATGCACCGTTAGTTATATTTTGAGCTTAAAATGATCAAAGGACTAAAAAAACTAACTTATTCTACCACATGCCATTACTGAATGAATTTCTTCTGCAATGCGAACCATTTTCGTAACCAAGTTATCAATTCGACGTTGGCAATTCCGCAATTCGTCTGGAAGTTTCTTCGGGATGTCCAGTTGACATTTTGGCGAGCGCTGTTTCCGTTCCTCAAGCGAAGTACACTAAAGTCTGAAACGGAGCACCAGATGTTACTACAAATCAAATGCGATCTCTCTCGACTGAATAATACACGATTCCGACGATTCCGACGATTCCGAGTATCCGTTTTCGAAACTTCTACTCTTCACGAGAACCAGATCGTTCGTTCAGTCTTATATAGTCGACGATGTTACGATAAAATCAGACAAATCGAGATAGATTTTCTTCCGATTGATAGACAAAGTTTAGATTGAATATTTTAAAACTTATAGACAAATTTATGATTGAAATTGTTTTTTGTATTCTATTGGTGCACACATGGTGATATGTAAAAAATAACTTGATATAAGTGGCATTTTGCCTTAAGTCAAGTTGCATGAACTTTGCGATACTTGTAAATAATCGACTTAATCAGCAAGAATAGAGATGTAGGAGAAAACTTTAATGTTTATTTCAAGTATAAAGTTCCTGATTTCATTACAAATTAATCAATACAATTATCCAATTGGTAACATAGGTCCACAAAATAAAAACAGTTTTCCAATGGCAAATTTTTTCCGATGTAGTTTTTACCGCCGAACACGAATCTAAAATCAAAATTGGAGGCCAAATTGAGAGAAAAATTAACTAGTCGTGCATCCTTTTTCAGTTTCAGTGGTTTTTGAACATTTCGGCTTAATTTGCATGTATGCTTGTGTGTGTGCGCGCATGTATGTCCGGATACAATTTTTCGTCGACGATTTCGAGAACACGAATCAATCAATTTGAATGATTCAAAAAACATTCGATTCCTATTGATATCGAGACGTGCTGATTAGTTTTTGGCAAAGGTTCAGCCGTTCTAAAGGGGCCGTTCAAGTATTACGTAAGCACTATAGGGGCGCGGGGGGGTTGTTGATTTGCTTATTTTGGGTTGACATGGGGGGCAGGGAAGTCTGGATGATGATTACGTCATAGGTAGTATTTTTATTTTTTTGCATTAATTGCAAAATGTTGAACAATTGCAAATACTTGAACGATCCCAAAGATATGGGGCAAAGAGTGCCAAAAATCGTAATTCAATTTTGGAGAGAACGGAGCGTCCGATTAGAATAAATCTCAAAAATTATTTATTGAATAATTCAAGAACTGGTGAATTCTTGGGAAGGGAGGCTTAGCAGTTTCGGAGATCCAACAAAAAGTAATAAAAATGATATTTGGCGGACAAAAACGATCATTAGATATATGCACATCAAATTATCATATATTTTATAGATATTTTAATAATAAGAACAAATTTTGTTTACATTTCTATAGATTCCGTACCAATGTAGCTCCATTATACTGCGACGCGGCGCCCACGCGCTTCGGTATTTCGTTTTTACGCAGCTAACGTATCGCGATTGCTTAAAAAAAAGTTCAAAAGTTCTAAAATAAGAAATAAAAAAAATCAAATTTTTCAAAAAGGTCAATTCTTTTCAAAAATTATAAAAATTTTAAAATCTATTTTTTCAAAGTTTAAAAAAATTTAATTTTTTGTACAGGAAGTTACAGCAATATGCCTTAAGGCACGATGTCTTGCATCACTAGTTTCTAAAGATATTGTGTGAAAATTAGTTTCTCAGTTTTACTTTTGGATATAATATTGTGGAACTACGTAAACTCTGTAAAGCATATCAATCTATCAGGACCTGGTGATTTATTAGTGTATTCAGGAGTTTCGCAAATATAGGAGATTATCATATAGTCCCAACGACCAACACATATATATATATGTATATTTATATATATATATATATATATTGAATGGTAGAGTCTTGGATTTGTGTATGTATTTTGTAGAGTTTCGAACAAGAATCCAAAAATAATACAAAATAAAAAACAAGAAAAGTTTTTAAAAAACAATTTCTTTATTTAATTATTTGTTTATTGTCAACGTTTCGGAACTAGGTACGTTCCATCTTCAGGACATCTGTCAAGAAACATGATCTTGATGAGATTTAAGCAAACAATATGTTTAAGAATAGAAAATAGATTTTTCTTAAATAATAAATTAATTGTAACAAGTAATAATGTACAGAAATATGATAATATGATCAAAAAGAAAATGATAAAAATAAATGAGTGGATTATCAGAACAGGATATTAAAAATGATAGAAATTTTCTGAAAGTTATGGAAAATTTTTTTAAGAAAGGCTTAATGATAAAATTGAATTAATTACCTGTATGTTTGAATATACGTTAGCACTTTTTCACTAAACAAGAATTTTTGACAAAAAATGAATTTGTGAGTTATTTTTCCGCCGAATAGTTAACTAACGAATACAATATTATTTGTTTTCAAATAATAATTTAAAAAAGTAATTTTAATTTACAATTTAATTAGTAATTTTGATTTACAAAAGTTAACTATTCGGCGGAAAAATAACTCACAAATTCATTTTTTGTCAAAAATTCTTGTTTAGTGAAAAAGTGCTAACGTATATTCAAACATACAGGTAATTAATTCAATTTTATCATTAAGCCTTTCTTAAAAAAATTTTCCATAACTTTCAGAAAATTTCTATCATTTTTAATATCCTGTTCTGATAATCCACTCATTTATTTTTATCATTTTCTTTTTGATCGTATTATCATATTTCTGTACATTATTACTTGTTACAATTAATTTATTATTTAAGAAAAATCTATTTTCTATTCTTAAACATATTGTTTGCTTAAATCTCATCAAGATCATGTTTCTTGACAGATGTCCTGAAGATGGAACGTACCTAGTTCCGAAACGTTGACAATAAACAAATAATTAAATAAAGAAATTGTTTTTTAAAAACTTTTCTTGTTTTTTATTTTGTATTATTTTTGGATTCTTGTTCGAAACTCTACAAAATATATATATATATATATATATATATATATATATATATATATATATATATATATATATATATTGTAGAGCTTCGAACAAAGAATCCAAAAAGTAATGAACAACAACAGAGTTTTTTTAATAAACCATTTCTTTATTCATTTACTGTCAACGTTTCGGAACTAGGTATATTTCATCTTCAGGACATCTGTCAAGAAACCTGATCTTGATAAGATTTAAGCAAACAATATGTTTAATAAAGGAAAAAGAAGATAGATTTTCTAATTAATAAAAATTTTATTAATAAAAAATCCATCTTTTACCGTAGATACTGTATTTATTCTTTCTGAATTTCTTATGCTGATAAAAAACTGCAATACGTATAAAGCTTATGCCAAGACCATAAATGGAAGAACATTAAATAGAATATTAAAAAGTGTAGGATAGGATATTAAAAAATTTGGAACTTAAATTGTACGCGTGGGTACAGGGCAATGTCTGTCGAGTCATCTAGTATATATACCATTAAATTTATGTTTTCATTTGTGTGAGAAGAATTTGTCTGTTCATTTAGCAGTCTTCATATAAATTAATATGTAGATATTTGGGAATGTTCGTAAATTATATTTATGTATGTTCGGATCCTTATCTATGGTTCGGATATAATTTTCACTAACGTTTTCAAGAGAACGGATTACGAAAATATTTTGGTATGACGAGTCGATTAGGTTATTTGGGAAAAGCGGGTTCGGCAGCCTGAGAGATCCGTAGGAAAATGTGAATAAAATGGATATTCGGTGTTTGAAAATAGCAAAAATATGACAAATATCATACATATGCACAGATAATCTGAAAATATGCTTCAATAACTTCCTAGAAACTTTTGAAATTAAAGAAATTTTCGTAAACATTACTAAATGTTTTTTTAACTAGAAACGTATTGCTTTTTTAATATAATATAAAATATATTAATAAGTACCAAAATTATTGCGCATTAATTAATATTTGATATTGCTGTAGTTATGAATAGTAACATCCAGAATACTTTTTCTAGGTACAACAAATTATGACAATTTTTTTATAAATTTTTAAAATATGCTTAAGCTATTTTATTTTTAAATCCGTAAAGTCCATTTTTCTTGATTATTATTTGTTAATATAGTTTAAAATTATGCATTAATCTTTAACCAAAAATTGAAGAATATATCAAAGAACACTTGATTGAAGAATATTGTAAATTATATCTATAATAATCTTTTTGAAATAATTACTACGTTGTAGTTAAACAGGATTTAATACCACTTTATGAACTAGAATTTTGTGAAATATCTATTACATAAAATCGTGCTGAACTTTAAATCCATTTCGAAACTATCCTTGTAAGTATCAGCAATAACTCGTTTCGTTCTATACGTGACTTTTATCTTATTTACTCATAGCCTCTGTCGATGTTAAGGACCGATAATACGTTTACTTTAGCTCCTTATATAAGTTTATTTATCGAGCGGTATCATGGAAAAAATGCTATGCGATGATGAAAATCGAAAGAAAACACCTCTCGTCATTTTTTCTTCCAAGGATCGAAGTTCAACGTCGTCGCATTCAATTTACTGTAAATATTTTATCTCTTTGCAAGAATAAGTCGATCACGTGTATTCTTTTCCTAGCCGGTCCTTAGTTTCGAATTTTTCTCTTTAGACAAATGAAATCTATTCATAATATGAAGTTTCCTTTCGTTGTCGAATTGTTTTCAATCCTGGTATTTTGTTTTGCTATTTCTGCACTATATTTCTATTTGTAACTTTATCACTTGATTTTGTTTTCCGCCTGGTACATAATTAATTATTTGCTAGTTGTCCATTACAATTTTTCCATTTATTTTCCAGATGAAGAAAAAGGTGTGGTGCAGGCAGTAGGCGTTCCTGATCCATATTATCCAATAGCCTTACCATTTGACCAGGACTTCAAAGCTAAATATGTATTTTATCACCGGCGAGGAAAAACTTTTCAAGAGAGGCTTTACGTGTTTTTGGAACATCCAGGAGGTTGGATGTGTTTTGTTTATCATTTCACTGTGTAAGTTATTTAATTAAATTAATTGACTAGTGATAATAAATATTACAGAAAAATTGAGCAGGCCTGAGAATATTGAAAAATTTCAAGTTTGGACAATTTTACCATAAATGCTTATATGGTTTATTAAACTCATTTAGTAAAATGTCGACTACCAACTCGGTAAAAAGGTCCACCACTATTATCTCGAAAAGAAGAAAAGTTAGGAAAATTTTAACAATATTTGAAAGTAGAGGGTTAAATGTGTATAACCAGCCTTAAATCCTCTTTGTCAATTTGATAACGAAAGTATTCTTTTCGTTGTTAGATTTTTTTAAAAAGCATTGTTGTTTGATTTTTTTGAGCATTGTTGTTCAGTTTACGATACCGAATGCAATTTTCAAGTATACGTTATTTAATTGTTGCAACTTTTTTTTAAATAACCTATAAAATAGCTTATATGCGATTGGGATAAAAATACCCACCTTAACCTTTAAAGGTGAATTGTGAAATAAACTATTTTTTAAAGATAAATTCAATTAATAGTTGTTCCAACTCTTTTGACAAATTTCCATATAGATTGTATGGAGTGTGATCTTCATCAAAAATTGTTCAAAAAATTTTAATTTCAAACAGAAATTTTAGTCACTTTATTTGCAGCATCATATTTTAATATAATAATAAGTCTGATTATGATCAATTAAATAGAATTACATACAAAAGCAAGATTTATGATAGTACTTAGAGTTGATATTTTTTTTGTTTATCATGAAAATACATATTTAGATTATGATTTCTAATTTTAAACCTAATAATTAAACTGCAACGTTGATTAAATAATGTAACTATCATTCCATAAAACCTCTTTAAAATTATCAATTTATCAAAGAATGGTGCATCTTTTTGCCCTGTGGTTGTTCCCCTTTTACCTTGCCTATGGGATAAAAAGGACCAGGTCACAAATTTTTGACAAAATAGCATAAAAAACTAAGTTTTGCAATGATGAATTAGCTGGGAATTTTATTGAACATGATAGTTGTTTGATGTCGTTTGATATGTGTAATTTATTTTAATATAGATGGTTTGGTTTTTACAGTATAATTGCTATAGGTCAAGTTGAACCTTTGTGCCCCGCCCTACGTTATTAAAAATCTTGAGCAATAATATTGGTACAACTACAGATTTATCCATTTAGGTTATGAGTAACGAGTGAATTTTAATAGTTATTCATATGATTATTTTCTTTTTATATCTGGCCTGTTCATTCATAGGAAGTCTTTTAAATACATTTTTAATATAATTAGTGAATATCGAAATTATTTCGCTATTATGACAAATTTTAATTTTTTATCATTTTTGTGTAATGAATTTTTTTTTGCTATCAATTTAATAATTAATGTGTAATTCAATTAAGAAATTACAAAAATTTAAAATGAAATCCATAAATAAGTTAGTTGTGTAGAAGGAAACTTAATGGATTGATATTGTACTAGAAATGATATGTCCAATAGTTTCATTTTTTTATTTAAAATATAAACAGTAATTTAAAAATAGCTTACAACTTTCAGATTGATAATAATAAAATATTTAGAAAACTAAGTATAATATTAAAATCTAATAATAAGTATTAAGTCTCAATTCACATGTTCTTTATTTATCTTCTCGTCTGCAAACAAATTTTTAAACTTCATCATTAAATTTGGAAGTTATCAAGACCTGACTTATGTAAATATTGTCTCATTGAATTATAAAGCAAATAAAAGTGTTCTGTCTGTTACGAATAACGTCGCTATATCATCGTCGATGAATTTTTAAATAATTTACATCTAATTTGATACAAAATTATATGTAATTTCAGGTTCATGGTTGTTCTGGTGTGTTTGATATTCAGCGTACTTTCCACGATCGATGAGTACAGCGATTTTGCAAATGAAACATTGTTCTGGATGGTAAGTTGAGGTTAAAAATTCACAATAAAAACTAAAACAGTAATTGATAATAATTTTAAGTGTAATTCATAACTATCAAACTTATGAATTTGGGATTTTTGCTTCATGATTTAGAATTGATCAAATTTATTAGAATCTTTTCAGTAAGACTATTATATTGTACTTGGTCGCAGAAAATTTAATAACACTTTTCTGCTAATTATAAAGAAACGACTCGGCCAATCGACTAGCAAAACTAATCGAGTCTTTTCATCGAATGGCTTTTAAATTTTTGAGATTAGTACAGTCGTTTTTGAGAAAATGTCGTCAAAAAACGGTTTCACATATATGCATCCACATATACATTATTCAAATTTGATCTCAAACGCTTCACATAATGACTTGACAAGTCGAGAAAACATAAAACTAGCAAATCCAACCTGTCGAAGGATAAATATTTCCTTGTCGATTCATATTTTTTTTCATATTCACTAATTATTTAAGTTTCATGTATATTTGAGATTAATCTGCAGAAAGTTTTCTGCTCTTGAAAATGCCGAAATTTACTAGAATCTTTTCAATAAACGATTATATTATACAATATATATTTTAATATTGATATAGCACTTTTCAGGTAATTGTAATGAAACGGTTCGGCCGATAATCTCGCAAAATTAATCAATGCTAATCCAATTTTTGAAATCAATTCAGCCGTTCAAAATAACTTGAATGAAACGTCTAAAATTGGCCTCAAACGATTAAGAGCGACTTTTATCGTTGAGAAAATATGAAATTTGGATTTTCTAGTGAAAACAAATTCCTTAATAAAATTATTATTTATGAATTTTTACTTATGAAAATAATTACAAAAACATACACTGAAAACCGTAAAAAATAGTACATTTTTATAAAAAAAAAATCACTTCTTATATTATTCTTCTTATATCATTATTTGTATTTTTATCCAATGTATTTTTAGCATACACTCACATACACAAAGATACTTTTTCCTATTTCGGTCTCAAACGATTCAGAATGACTAATCATTATCTTCAGAATCATTAAGAAAACATAAAAGTAGTGAATCGGATTTCTCGGCGAAAATGGTTATTCTTCTTTCCGTAATAAATAAAACATCTAAAATGTAACATATTTTAATAATGCGATTCTCATATTGGTTGATAAGAGCCTGTAATAGTATTTATCATTATTGATAAAGGCTTGCTTATAAATAATTAAATAAACTAGTTGTAAGTGGCATTTTTCCTTGAGGCAATTTGCATGAACTTCCCGATATGCGTGAATAATCGATTTATTAAATCGATATGATATGTCTGTTTTCCTGTCTACTTATTTGCCTGTCCACTTGTCTATCCATCTACTTTTTCACTTGTTTACCTGCTACCTATTTGCTACCTGCTAACTTTTCTACTTGTTTACCTGTAGGTGTCTACCTGTTTACCTGCTTACGAGTTTACTTGTTTATCTATTCACCAATAAACTTATTTGTATAGGAATCAGTAATATTGATTTTTAAAAATCATATTAGAACAACAAATGTTTTTTTTTTTATTTTTCTTTCTTTCTCAAAAACTGTCTTTTTTGCCATTTTTGCTCTGTACCTCCGAAACGGTTAAACCTATCTTTGCCAAAAACTAATCAGCACGTCTCGCCACCAATACGATTCAAACGTCTTTTGAATCAACCTAATCAGATTCTCCATTCTTTCACAAACTGTAAAGCCATTTTTTGCACATTTTGAACCAACCAACCAATCAACTGAACCAACTTTTTGCAAAAACTAATTGGCACATCTACCCATCAATAGGAACTGAATGCTTTTTGAATCATTCAAATCGGTTGATCGGTGCTTTCGAAAGTGTCGATCACACACATTCATTTTTTGCAAGGTATGCCAATATGTTCAGAAACAGTTGAAAAATAAAGATTTTTTGCGATAAAAATAACTTACTGCGGAATGTTAATAAATCAAATAAATAAAATATTTAAACAGATCAAACAAGTGTCATTGTTACTTTTCTGTTCAAAAACTCATCAAAAATAAAGTCGATGCTTTTTCTTCACTGCATACCTTCTTTTACTAATTACAACATCAAAAGAGAGCAAATCTAAAGGAAACAAATGTTTTATGTAATAAATTAAAAAGTGCCCCCATATAAACTTTAATTCTCTATGTCTGTACATTGCAATTTATTGATGTCGTATATAAGAATTGTACCCTCCTAGAGAATATTAATTATAAAGGAGCACAAAAGAAGTCGCCGCCGGCAGTATAATGCCCTTCAATAACTCATTATTTTTTTGCTTTATGTAAGCATTATATAGAACATGACTGTCAATTTATTGTATTCGCTTTGAAATAAAAATCGACTCCGTAAAAGATTATTTAAAATGTGATTTTGATATAAAATATAACCAAGAGCAAAACGGGTTCATACACTAATAGGGGCTCCGTAAAAATAATTATAAATTATATATTATTAACCAGTTAACTGTGTCGTTTACATCTAGCAGTGCGCACAGTTTTGTGTCGTCTCTGAATTGACCCTTTATTTTACGTATATATTCGTCAACCACAGAGTAAGTTGCGCTGGAACGGATATAAATTTTGGGTTTATTTTTCAAAATTCAAGAATGTTGTCTACTTCATTTTACTTCTTTGTTAACGTAAGCATATATTAAATTCGTATTGAACTAAAAACGGATTAAATTCAATGAAATAATATACATGTATATTAGGGTGTCCCTTAATATAAATGTTTTCGAATTTTCATTCTCTCGAGGCGTTGAAACGCCTCCAAGTTGAAAAAAAATTCCTCGAAAGTTTAGCTCTTAATATTAATTTTAAGATAATCCGCACTTAAACTAAAATTTCTAAATTTATTTATGATCAAAATAAGCAAATACAATGTTATACAATGTTATTCTAGAAACACCTGTCTCAAAGTAGCAAAATTCTAATAAAACGAATGGAGTTTTAAATTTTACCCATGTTATTTTCGTTAGAAACTTATTCTCGAAATTTTGATTCACCTATCGCTATGTTATAAATGTCTAAAAAAACAAATGGAATTGTAGATTTTGGCCATGTTATTTCCCTATGAATCTTTGACTGGAGGGCGGACTATCTTAAAATTAATATTAAGAGCTAAAACTTTTACATTTTTTTAACTTTCCATAGGGTAAGTTATTGTTATCGTCCAAAAAACGAAATTAAAAATGTTTACATTTCTTCATGTTTTGAAGGTTCCTGAACATTTTGGCATACCTCAGAAAAAATGGATGTGTGTGTGAGAGAGAGTGTGTATGTATGTATGGATACAATTTTTCGTCCACGTTTTTGGGCGCACGGATATACCAATTTGAATGGTTCAGAAAACATTCGATTCCTATTGAGCCAAGGAGATGTGCTGACTAGTTTTTGGCAAAGGCAGGTCCAGCCGTTGGCAGTTTTTGAGAGAGCTAAGCATTCGATTTGAATGATTCAAAAAACATTTTACTTGTTTTGACAAAATAATTGCTTTTGGAAAAAAAATGTTTAAATTTTTTAATGAAAAACAAAAATTATCATCAAAATAAATAGTAGAGAATGTTACTTAAATAGTTGAATTTTAATTCAAGTATATTATTTTCACATTTCTGGAAGTTCATGCAGTTCGTCTCCCACTTCTCCATGACGAGTATATTCGTCAATTATAGTTAACTGTTGAATTAGACGTATATGTCGTAAAAAAATATATTTTTAATTGTTAAAAGATTTTAAACTCATCAATGATATATATTGAAACTTATTATACTTATTAATAATATTTAATGAAATCAACTTATCTATTAATTAGCAAATCAACGTGAGTGCTCAGTGAAAGGGTCCAAAATGGAATCGTTTTTTCTTTACTTGTATAAATGAAAATTCACGAAAAATAAAAAATGTAAACAGTCTTCATGAAACCTAGGTAAAATTAACTAGGTGTTAAATTTTTGTTTGATATGTGTAAGTAATCGATATGACCTGAATAATTTTTGATATTTAGAATATTTTACATTGTGACGATAAAATTTCCATATACAGAAAATAAAATTTTCGTTTTCCATTAATACATAATCAAAGCGATTTCCAATTGTAAAAATTTATATTTATATGTATCGTAAAAACATATATTAATGAGCTTTTATAACTAAATCACTTTTTGTAGGCCTTTAATATTTTATGACGATCAACTTTATTGCTATGCAATGTTTTATTACAATCGTCAAAAAAGTGGGGATATAATAAAAAAAACTAATCAACATGATTGCCAACTAAATCTAAAAAATCACTAAAAATCTTTCGAACTGTTTTTAAAATTGGTTCAAGATTTTTAGCCAGAAAGTTAACGAAAAATGTGACGAAAAGTCAAATTTTACACACTCACTCATACTTAGTGTCTAACTATTCAGAATGACTTAAAGCATCGAGAAAAAAAATGATTTTCTGGCAAAAACATAAACTTTTCCCACTGAAAGTTAATTGTGTGACTTTTAAACCCTAATCTGTATTATCATATTGCTTTATCCTGCCACATAGGCTCCTTTAAATTTATTAAAATGTTGAGTGTATGTATATTAAGCACATACTTATGGATGGCTCCATTAAGGACATTACACCATTAGGTTTAATTGCACAGTATTACTTGAAGAGATGATGGAAACATGAGATGAATGAATATATCACAATTATGTAAGAAACCTTACATTACAGAGACTCTACATAAATTTGCATCATTTGAATTATGAATACAGTTTAATTACATATCGAGCATATTTATAAGCGCCATTAAGTAATATGAATTGCTGAAGGCATATGGTAGTCATCTTAAACATTTATTTTTATCTGCCCAATCGCTTGCTCGATACTAGACAAACTGCATTTATATATCGATTAATAAACATTATAATAAATTATTATAATTGAGTAAGATATTATTGAACTATAGATAGTAATTGATAAAAAGATTTACAGAATACGAAGATTCTTCATATACCTATATACAATATGAAAGTGAATCTCAAGTAGTCTTCTATTAAATTTTTTTACTTAAATAATATTAGTTCAGAAATAATAGTGTAACTAACTAGTGGTGCATATATCATTGTGATTTAAGACAAATTGGTGGTACTTCCACTACCGTTTTTTAATTTGATTTTTTTGAGAAATTTGAAACCCATTCTGTCGAAAATATCGAGGAGACTAAAAATCTTGGTATGGAACTTAGATACAATATTTGTATTAAGTATTAAAATTTATAAAAAATATCTGATAATTTAATGTGCACTATTTTTTCTGGTTTTCTGCTAGACCTGCCTTCTCAAAAATTTAGTCAATTCTCCATTCAAATGAAATATTTTTTGATCATTTAAATTGAACGCTCTGTTCTTTCAAAATTAGAATTGCCATTTTTTGAAGCCCCCAGTGTCTTCGGAACCACTGGACCATAAATCGAATGGTTTTTGAATCATTTAAATCCGTTGGTCCATTTTTTTGAAATGGTAGACAAAAAATTGTACCGCTCTTACATACGCACATACACATTCATCATTTTTTCCTAAACCTTTGAAACCTAAATATATACAAAAATATTCATTTTCGATTTTAATATCATATGGTTTATATATGAAAAATAGTGGTTGGCCATTGGGTTCCCTTTCGAGAAAAAACCTTAGGCTTGTGAGATGTGGGGTATCAAATAACTATTAAAAAAATTATGACTAATTTCCATTACTCATAATGTATAACTAAATAAACTTTGCAATATTTTTGAACCTAATATTATACAGTATTCCTAAAATATATAAAAACGCAAAAATACAAGTGTTATACATACAAAGGTCTGAATTTAAAGAAAGAGTCTAATATGAAAATAAAGAAAAATTTAAAACAAATTAAGTGAAGACTTTGCTTTTGCTTAATGACAAAAAACTAAAAAACTAAAATATATAAAAGGTACAAGAACAAATGAATACAAAAATAAAATGATGATTTAGTTTTAACTTATTCTATACAATTTCAAGATGCTAATAAATGATAAATGTTACATTTACTGGTGTCTTCAAAAATAAAGCTTATTATTATAATATATGTATCTCTTATTATAATGTAGATGTTGAAATGTTTATAATCTGCTTTAGGAAATATTCCTTGTTGTGTTCTTTGGAGTCGAGTATATAGTACGTTTGTGGTCGGCCGGTTGCAGATCAAAGTACATGGGATGCTGTGGCAGATTAAGATTCATTAGAAAACCCATATGTATCATAGGTAATACTTACATCATTCATATTTATTTATATATGCGATTAAAATGAATAAAATTCACAAAATTTATAATTTAGGCTTTTTTAAAGTAGATGGATTTTATTATTTTATTATTTTATATTATTTTTTTTATTATTATTAAATTATATGAAAAAATTCTTAAACTTTAAAACGCTTAAGTTTTTTTTTTTCATTTTTTCCACCTAGTGTGAAATTTATATCTATATAATTTGAGAGAATCCTGAACAGTGACCTTTAGATTTTATACCCATCAATAAGGTCACCGTACATTCCGGTTTGAAAACAGCCTCTTACATTAATAAATTTAAATTTTTATTTTCTATTGCACAAAAATTAAGAAATTCAGGGAAACCAACAAACAAGCGCTAATTTTTCAAGTTATCAAGAAAATGTTATGCGGATCAAAAAAGGCTCCAAAGCTAAAACGTATATAGATAGAAAAATATAAACTAGTGGGGCGCATGGCATCGAGCCTTAAGGCAAATTGCTGGAACTTCCTGTACCAAAAAAAAAATTTTTTTCAAAAAGATTAACATTTTTGAAAAAAATTACTTTGAATAAATTAGATTATTGAGAAACTATAAATTTTTGATTTTTTTTTACTTTTTTCGAAAAAAGGCTTTTTGAAATGAAATATTTTGGAAGTTCTGAACTTTTTTTCAAAACTGCTTTAACTGCATAGAGACTAAATATCGAAGCGCGTAAGCGCCGCGTCGCCGTCTAACGGATAAACATTGGTACGGAGCCCATAGGAATGTAAAAAAAATTATACTTATTGGTAAAACCTCTCTAAAAGATCTGATAATTTTATATGCATATGTCTAATGATCATTTTTGACCGTCAAATGGCATTTTTTTTTTACTTTTTTCATTAGATCTTCGAAAGCACTAAATCCGTCTTCATGAAAATTTAATCAGCTGTTCATCTTGTCTGTCAATACAAGTAAAATGTTTTTTGAATTATTAAAATCGGACACTCCGTTCTCTTAAAAACTGAGTTACCGTTTGTGGCACTTTTTGCCCCGTATTTTTGAAACGGCACGTCTCCTTATCAACAGCAATCGAATGTTTCTTGAATAATTGAAACCGGTTGAACCGTGTTCCCGACGTCGTCGACGCAAATTTATATCTGCACACACATACATTCATTTTTTCTAAGGTATTCCAAAATGATCAGAAATTTCTGAAACGTAAAGATATATAAAAAATTTCATTTTCCATTTTTTGCGATTACTATAATTTACCCTACGGCCCTACGGGAAGTTAAATTACTAATATACATAAATATAGCATCATAGGTAAAAAAAGAGTATTACATATAATTGAATAGTAAAGTTCTTGCTAAAAGTACAATTTTTATTAATAAATTGATTTATTTAAAAAAACTGTACTTTACCGTCAATGATTTTTTTTAATTCTAATAGTGGTTTAAGAATTTGACAAAACATGATTTATATTTTTTTGTAAGGATTGACAAAACATGATTTATATTTTTTTGAAATGGGTTCCAATTATTTTTAATCGATAAAAAACATATGTTCATCGTAATTTCCTGCAGATATTACGTATGCACTAACTATAAATTGCAACTGTTAAGTGAAAAATAATATCTTAAAACTATCCTACAAACAATCAATAGTGGCTTTCAAAATTTATATACTGATATAAAGTAAACAAAATATGAATTGAAACCAATTGACATGAGATGAAAACCAAAAAGCTTTACTGGTTACTAAGGGACTAAGTTCAAATCATGCTCATACAATACGCTACTTTTATATAAATCTTTATTCAAACCAATTTGGTGCTATGGTATACAATTGTGGGGCAGTGCTCATAAGACTAATATAGAAATAATACAGAAATTTCAAAACAAATTGCCTTAGGAGCTCCAAAATATGTTCCCAACTGGTTGATTCGTGTCGACACGAATACACCTACCATAAATGAAGTAATAACAAAAACAGCACATAAGAATAGAATCAGTCACACAAATTCATTAGCAAACTCCTTGATAACAGAGAACGATCCAAAAGGATTGAAAAGAAAAGCGCCGCTGGATTTAAGCCATCAACTCTCCTGATGAAAAATGGAAATAACTTAATTTAATATTGTGAATTTTATATCGAATGGGAAAACAACTGCTGAGTTGTTTTTCCAACATGCCCTTTTAGTATATAATGTTCCTTTTTGGCCGACTATTGTAAATTCATCAAAATTATTAAATGTCCTTAACTGGACATTAAAAAAAAGTTTTGCTGAAAAAGTTTATTATAGTGTATAAGTATCAAAAATAACTTGCGTATTAATGCATTAAAACATATAGTAATTTTCATAAACTAATCTCCGATAGATGCCTTTTTGGTTTCACATTAAAAAACTTTCTAAAAAATTTTATTTTATAAAATATGTGATAAAACATTCACATTTTGTTATTTTCTGGTTATCAGAATTTATTAATTTGTGACTATTTGATTATGGTTGTCTAACATTTATTTCTAATTGACCACAGAATCAAATGTTGCTATTTTCTGGTTATTATCAAAATTAATTAATCTGCATCTTTCTATTCGATTGTGCTGGTCCAATATTCATTTCTAATTTTTACAGATCTTATTGTAGTAGTAGCATCTATGATCGTCTTGTCTGTTGGTTCTAATGGTCAAGTTTTCGCCACAAGTGCCATCAGAGGCATTAGATTCCTGCAGATATTACGAATGCTTCATGTGGATAGGCAAGGAGGCTCTTGGAGGCTGCTGGGATCAGTCGTTTTTATACATAGACAGGTATTTTTCTAAAAATTACTTTTCTTTAATCAATAGACTTAATATTCTCTTGGTTTGATTTATTTCAGGAACTGATCACGACATTGTATATAGGTTTTCTTGGTCTAATATTTTCGTCATATTTTGTGTATTTGGCGGAAAAGATGCCACTTCTCCTGATGGACGGATGGCATTTCGAAGTTACGCTGATGCATTGTGGTGGGGTGTTATAACTGTTACTACTATAGGTAAAAAAACATTCATTCATAAAACAATAGTTTTATATCAATTATTTATTCTAAATAAATTAAGTCTTTTATTAATTTATAGGTTATGGTGATACTGTTCCACAAACGTGGATGGGTAAAATAGTGGCTTCCTGTTTTAGTGTGTTTGCAATATCATTCTTTGCATTGCCAGCTGTAAGTATCTATTTTGAGCAATGCAAGATTTTATTGAATTGTTATAATGATAATGATTTATAACGTATTGCTTTATTATGTATCTACATAAAGGCATTATTGTCTGTTTTGTGCAAATATTTATTCAAAACAATTATTACCATAATTATACCCAGAGTTCTCAATTTTTTTAACAAACTTTTGTCAAATCAATTATCAACTTATAATAAAAATAATAAATAGTAGTCTGCTCAAAGGCAGCTCTATGTTATGACGTGTGAGAGCACCAGAAATCAATGATTCTTTTTCTTTCCTGTTTATTATGCCCATTACCATTTAGTTACCATTATTCACTTTTTTATACATTTTTCTTTTCCAAACTTCTGCTTTCATGTTTCCTAGTTCTGCTCTTAGGCTTTCAGTTTCCTGTATTTTCTCTTCTTGCATAAGTAATCAATCGTCTGCACTCTTTTCCAAAATCCTTTAGCCCTATTATTTTATCTTTGCGAATTCATGTAAAAGGGACTCTTTGCAGAATGTACCCACTACAGTTCCTTTTAATGATCGTGCTTAATGAAGTGCTTTTAGTCATCATCAATATATACTTTAGTATATTGAGTTTATATATTTAAATTAATAATAAATAATTGAGTAATAATTGTTACTCGACCCTAGTTGCAACTAGATATACTTAAGGCAATAAAGAAAGAATACTAATTGATGGATGGATGGAAATTGTTTGATATTATCAAAAAATATAAATACCCTTTTATTTTTTATTATAATTATCATTATTACATTTTATGTTAAATCCCTAATGTCATAACTACTTTTCCAGGGAATATTAGGTTCCGGATTCGCTCTGAAGGTCCAACAAAAGCAGCGCCAAAAGCACTTCAATCGGCAGATTCCTGCTGCAGCAATGCTCATTCAATGTCTTTGGCGCTGTTATGCCGCGGACAAGACTTTCCACAGTAACGCTACGTGGCTGGCCCACGTTCACCGGGCAAGGCAGAATTCGTTAACCAGGGATTCAGGACAACAAAGTGCAGCAATGGCGCAGAGGCTTATGAATACGTCTTGTGTAAATACTCCGAATGCCGTAGCCGCAGTTTTACCTGCTCAAATTGGAAAGGTCTGTGAGATAAGTATTTTTTCTAACATATTCAATAATAGACAATTTTCTTCATTTTTTTGAGTTATATGTGTTTTAAGCTCTCTGCGTTACTACCCTTGAAACATTATTACCTTCCATCCTTATCTATGATTATTACCTAAATAAAGAGTCATTGGCAGCTTATATATAATTTAAATTGTAATACTTATGGAGATAAGTATTGCAATTTCTCCAATCTACAGTCTACTATTTATATTTCTGGATTTTTAATAACATCTTTCCAAAATCCAAAAATTTTCTGTTTCTCAAATGAATATGTTCATATATAAATTATTCATTTCCTAATTTTCGTATACATGTGCTAGCTTTGTGATATATTTAAGAATTTTATAGCCACAAATTTTCTAATTAATTCTGAAAAATGACAATCTAATTTTTAATAAAAAACATAAAACAATTTTGTATAAACAAAACAATCTTTATTAACACTTTATACTCATGTATTATATATAAATCTATTTAAGTATTTTAATATATCTATATAAGATATATATATATATATATATATATATATATATATATATTATAATAATAAGTATATCATATCTTAGTCTTGCTTATAAACTATTTGTCTTTCAGTCTATGTTTTCTAAAGCCCTGAAAATAATGATTATATGAATTATTATATATGTAATTTATATCACAAGGACTTGCCATAATAGAATAAAAAAAAGTTGTTAGTCAGAACTAAATAATTTGCCAAGTATATTGAGTATATTTCAACTTACATAGTACGGCGTTTGAATCTGTAATTGGAAGCCCGCAACCATCCTTTAACATGGTCGATAACCATGAACTCCGTTTTATTAACAAAATTCTCACAAATAATTTCTGTAAACATTATTGGTTTTAAAAATGATCTATTTTAATGACTTAAAGTAGGTAATTTAAAATATATGTCACTACCTATTATCAATTTTACAGTGAGCAGAGCTGAGAAATTTTTTCTAGTTTTGTCTCCAGTCCAACAATATTCTCTGGCCACTGCATCATCGAAAACTTTTCTCAAAAGTGAATAAGTGGCAGTTCTATCACACCCACCACCAACACGTGCCAGTCGGGTTTTCTAAGAAAAATTCAAAATAGCATAAGAAACATATTTATCTTTCTTCATTATTAGATTTAATCATATTTACCACTTTCTGCCTCATTGCTGAGTCTCTGAGCTGTTCTTCAAAATCTCGTAGTTTACATTCATTTTTCAAGGGTAAATTACTATCAACAAACTCTGCAAGTCCGGGTTCAATAATAGGGCTTTTCTTACACTGGCAGTTTTCTTCAATTTTTTTTAAAAGTGCTTGGTGTTTTATATCCATGTCTTTCTTTAGCTGCTCTATTTTCAGACACATTGCGGCAGTACTCTGATCCACAATGTGTTCGATCTCTGATAGTATTAAAGTATTTTATTACATCTCTAATATACATTGATAGGTAATGTAAGAAGAGAACTTACCTTTCATTAATTTTGTATGATTATGACTGCTCTCGGCCTTATGATCTGCCAAACTGGTTTGGGTCTTACAATCACTATCTTAAATATTATGTGAGGTTACATATTATATTATTGAACTTTCTGTAAAATTACTTACGAGTATCAATTGAATTATCCTCTTCCTCTTCCCAATTGATCCTTCGTTTGAGACTGAGACGACGAAATTTTCTATCAGCCATATTTATCTACGAAAGTACGAATGATATTACGGTTATAGAAAAATGCTAATCACTTGTCTGTAACTATATTTAATATACACACTTGAAATCAGAATAACTGAAACAACTGAAAGTTTTAATGAATGTAAGCGAGGGTTACAGTTTACAGATAGAGAGACCGACAGGCCGTTACATTTCCACTGGCTTGTCTTCTTGTTCGTTTCTTAGAATGTCAGTGTTGCCGCGTATGACATCCGCAAGATGCCACAACACAAATTTTAGGCGGAACATTGACAAAATGCTATGGCAAATTGTAAATGTCGCCTGATTGGGTTGCTAACCTTTGCTAACTTCACGACTTTAAAGAATTCTTAATACAGAGTCCGCGCAATAAAATTTTATACATCCTAAAGGAGAAGTTATGTTTTTTCGTAAGTAAATCCGCTAATTTATGTTTTTTCGTCATTTCACGTCATTCTGAATCGAATGAAATCAAACTTCGTGAATGTATGTGTGTTGCATAAGTGTATGTATGTGGTGTATAGGCTTGCATCGAATATTCGGCATATTCGGCATATTCGGCATCTTTTTTAATATTCGGCCGAATTCCGAATAGTTAAAATCAAAGGTGCCGCGTCGTCACTCGGCGAAAATATTGTGTGTTGTTTCATCTCTTGGCGATAAAGAACTCGCGATTGATCTGTATTTGGAAGTGTTTAGTTTAAATATGATTTAAACATATATTTAAAAACCTTTTCTGAATATTCAAAGGAATACTTTGTTATTTTTTTTTTGTTATTTCATGCATAACTAATTTATATGGCATCTTGCGTTAAGGAAAATTGTTGAACTTCTCGTACCAAAAATTTTTTTTTTTAAAAAATTAAATATGTTTTAAACTTTGAAAAAATTGACTTTTTTGGAAAAAAAATGTTTTTGTTAGTTCGAAATATTTTGGAATTTTTGAACTTTTTTTTCAAAGCAATCGCACTGCTTTAGCTGCCTAGAGACTAGAGGTGGGTCGTTGACGGTTTTGCCGTCAACGAAACGAAACGGTTATCGGGGTTTCGTCAACTAGTTAAATAACTAGTTATTTTTCAACTATAGTTATTTTTAACGATTCAACGCTGGCAACGTTAAGAACTGATAGTTGAAATAACTGTTTCATTGAAAGTTGGTAATATGAACTTTGTTCTTATAAAAGTCAAGTTGACGTTGGATTTGATGAATAAAAAGAAATAAATGTGAATTGTCACATTTATTACACCACACACACATATATATATATAATATATATATATATATAATAAATAAAGGTTTAATTTAAAAAACTTAATATTTTTCATTACAGCAAAGCCATATACTAAAATATCGAATTTACATGTTATATAAAAATAGCAATATAAAAATGTATGGTTATATAAAATGTTATGAAAAATAAATCAATTTTCAGGTTTAGTTTAAAAAAATTATTACAAGACAAATGCTATGAGATTTTTATGAAAAATATTAACCATTGAAAACTATAATAAATGTAACTGATTTTCTAAAATTAAACGATTTGGCGCGTGTTGCAAGTTTCTTTTAAGATGTACATGTACTCGTACATTTGCAATATTATAAAAGCAGTAGCCTAACAATAAGCGATTTTCATAGTATTAGTTGATCCTTTCCGACGCAGGTACCTGCCTACGTTCGTTTTCGACAACAAACGAATTCCTATATCGTTGAAAAACTAACTGGCCGCCATGTTTTCAAACTGTTTCGAAACAGTTGATTTTCAACTAGTTATTTCGTTGCGACGAAACGGTTAGTTAGTTAACGAAGAAGAAACGGTTGAAAATAACCGTTCTTGATTCAACAACGCCATCACTATAGAGACGCAATTTCGAAGTGCGTCGCCGTGTAACTGATAAACATTGCTACGGAACCCATAGGAATGTAAACAAATTTAAACTTATTGTTAAAATCTCCATAAAATATCTGACAATTTGATGTGCATATGTCTAATGATCATTTTTGACCGCCAAATGGCTCATTTTTTTTACTTTCTTTTCCATATCTCTGAAGTCGTTGCACCTGCCTTTCGAAAAATTTAAACAGTTCTTCATTTAGTCAATACAAATAAAATGTTTCTTGAATTATTCAAATCGAACGCTACGCTCTCTTACAAACTGAGGTACCGTTTTTGGCACTTTTTGCCCCGTATCTTCGGCACGGCTAGACCTGCCTTCGCCAAAAAACTAATCAGCACGTCTCCTTATCAATACGAATCGAATGTTTTTTAAATAATTGAAATCGGTTGAACCGTGTTCCCGAAATCGTCAACGAAAATTTGTATCCGCACACACATCTATTTTTTCTAAGGTATGCCAAAATGTTCAGAAACCACTGAAAAGTAAAGATATATAAAAAATTTCATTTTCTTTTTTCATTTTCATTTCATTTTTTTGCGATTACTGTAACTTGCCCTACGAAAGTTAAACATATTACATAAAAGGTTACACGCATTTGTTGTATATGTATCTATATACAATAAAGTCATTCAATATATTTAATCTAAGCATTTTCAAAGAAAGAGCTATCATAGGCTCTTTACGGCAAATATACAAACAATATTTTTAATAAGTTTTTTCAATTTTTTTATTATGAGCAGGGGCGTAGCGTGCCTTGGCGGGGTCCCGTATCAAAATTTGTTTGGGGACCCCCTCCTGAAGAAACTTGTTTTCATAAAATATAAAATACATAAAATTAAAAGAATATTTATTTATCATTCTAATAATTTATCTATCTAATTCTCTCTAATTTGTTGAAGTTTTCATAAATGATTCCAGATATTTATTCACTCTAAAATTCTCTCAATAATAACGCTTCATTATTTTTTGTCTTTTGTTTTTTAAAATAGCTATTGCAATCCATCTTTTTTGCAAATTATTTGGACTCATTTAGCAAACCAATTCAATAAATTATATCGTAATTCTCATAAACTATTTAAAGGATTACTTAATAAAATACTAGTTTTTTGTAGAGTTTCAGAAATGAAACTAATAATTTGAAACAGTGAAGAAAGAAATCTGAAAATGATTTAGTTGATCATATTTATCAAATATATCTATTAAACTTACTAAATATAAAATTCCAATTTTCTATGAAGAATTTATGAACTGGATTAGTTTTATAGATTTGTTCATATCTGCACAAGAATTTTAACTTATCGGATGAGCAAAAGCTTAACTAATTGAATTGATTGCTAGAGCTTACAAAAATATTGCAGCAGAAATAAATTCTCTTAAAGCGTTAGCTTACAAATTGAAGTTCAATACATCGATAGCAAACTTCGTTATAATTATTCATTTTTCTGAAAAAATGTTGTTTTGCTTTCTGCTTGCGCCCGAGCAATACGGGCTTGGGCTCCCGTATTTTTGATACGGCTGATACGGCTGATACGGCTGATACGGCGGCAGTTACGCCCTGATTATGAGTTGCCTTCTTAATATATAAGAAGTAGCATTGAGTTTATAAAGTAAACTATTAAATATTTATGAAAGAAATAATTGGAAATGCATCATTTATATATATGTAAAGAATCGCTTTTTTATGATTTTATCATTTATTTTTCTATCACACCTAGTATTCATGTATTCGGTATTTGGCCGATTAATATAAATGGTTCCAATTATTCCAAATTACAAAGAGTAACCAATTAGTTGTTGCAAGTCTAGGCATAAAACTTGAATAAGCTTGTAGCGCGTTAGTATTATAAAACTACTGATAGTATTTACATTAATGCGAACGAGTTTAAGCGTCAAAAATCTGCCGAATTATTGCCGAATATTCGGTATTCGGTCTCTGGAAAATGCCGAATATTCGGTAATCGGCATTTTGCCGAATATACTATTCGTCGCAAGCCTAATGCGTATGTATGTGTGTATGAGTGATACGATTTTCGACGTTTCGTTGACGTTTTTTCAAAAAATGCTCAACCGATTTTAAAAATTTAAAGGCCATTTGATGTAACTCGATAAGGACCTGCGTTGATTGGTTTTGTGCAAAAAATCCTTTAGTTGTATAGAAAATGCTACCATTTATTTCAAGAATTAAATAAAGTCAAGGATAACGTACATATTATACGTAATTGAGCCAGTATTTTCTTATAGCAAATGTTCAATATTTCACAAAAAAATGTTATTCAAAAAAAAAAAATGTTTTAACGTTTTTAATGAAAAGTCATACGAAAATTGGTTGAATTATATAAATTAATCAAAATTTGGAATAGTAAGTGCTTTTAGTGCACGTGTTAATACAGTATAATTAATATAATTACAGATAGGGTAGGGCGGGGCACAAAGGTCGAATTGGACTTTAAGCAATTATATTGTGAGAACCAATTGAATTGTATTACAACAAATAACACTCCCAGCTAATTTATTATTGTAAAATTGCTGTTTTTTCAAAAAATTGTAACCTGGTCCTTTTTACCTCTTTGGCGAAATAGGACAACCAGGAGGCAAACAGGTCCATTGTCTTATTTTTAATTTTAAAGGGATTTTACAAAATAATAGCTACATTATTGCAACCAATGCAACATATAAATTTTTTGAGATCACACTGATCACACTGTAATATAACCTTGATCTGGTATTTTGTCAGAAATAACTATCACTTGAGTTGCAATAACCAGTAGTTATTTAACTTATATCTTGAAAATTTGCTTTTTTTAACTTAATTTACTTTTTATGTACTATTTTTTATTGTTCACACCATTGCCAGTGTAAAGGATCAGGTGGTCTCTTTTATCCCGCCCACGTGTATGCTATTATAGAGGTTATATTAAAAAAACTGTTGAATCTGACTTAAACTTAACAATACATATTATAAAACAATTGCATGCAATTGCAAGTTGCATATTTTTTCATTCTACTTTCAAATATTGTTGTTAGAAAATCCTAACTTTACTTGCTCTTGTGATGTCGGTCTTTAATTCACGCTATTATAAATGTTACTAACACTTAGTTTTGCTACAGGTTATGAAGCGTGGAGCAAGTGTGTTGAAGCGGCGAAAGAGCAGAAATCGTATGGAAGCAGGACCGAGCGTTGACCAGGGCACTCCTACAGAAAGCAGAGCTGCTATTGAAGGAGAGACCAGCGGTGATAATGTATTCTTCACTGATGAACAACAACGTAATGGTAAATTGACAGTGTTCATATTTATTATTTCTGTTACTTTTTGCTATTTATTACGAAACTATAACTAAATTTGAATTTATAAACAAAAGTTACTGGTGGCCAAATCGACCACAATTTAATGTAATTTTTTTTTAATTTTTATTTAAATAAAAAAAAACACAATATTTTCGCTGTGCGGCGGCGACTCCTTTGCTTTAACTATTCGATATTCGGCCGAATGTAAGTTCTATTCAAGCTTGGTTGAATAATTAACTCCAACTTTGAACTAAAGAAATATAAAATATAAGTTTCAAGTGAAATAAAATTTATATACAATGTAAAAATGTATTTCCGAGTCCGCGGTTTCCTGGGTCGGGGCCCCTTTACGTAGGGAGCCCGTGGCATTTTGCCACACACGCCACGCTATAGTTACACCACTGGCTTAAGCATATTTACATTCTTTGCCATTTCGTAGATAGCTGTTGATTACAGTTGACATAAATAAAACACATAAATAAAACACATTTTTAGAACACGAAATTGATAAAATGAAATATTTTAAACACAATAAACAATTACAGATATTATAAGTATGTATTGTAATTGGAAATCGCATTGATTAATTTTTGAGAAAAAGCAAAAGTTTTATTTTCAAAACTGAATAGCTGAATTTCAATTTTTATTGATATACTTGATTTGCCTCAAGGCAAAAAATCTACTTACAACTAGTTTTAATCTGTTGGAAAATTAATGTTCTTTTTTTCCCAGCAGGAGGTAGTCCATCTCGATCAAGAAGAGATAAAGCACAACCTCCTCTTAGTCAAAATAGTTCTATGACTGAACCTCCTTCTGATGAACAAGATAACGAACCTGATTGTGAGCTAATGGAACTCGAACCAGCTCGTGTTACTCAGTATGTAAAATAAGAAAAAGATTGCTTTAGGATTAGTGCAATTAATTTGCTATTTGCTAAATATGTTAATAACACTTACTTCTTTATTACTATTATTACAGTTAAAAATTCGTTTGATGCTTATGATTTCTTTCTTTTCCAGATTAACAGAAGCTCATCGAAATGCTATTCGAGCAATTCGAAAGATAAAATATTTCGTGGCTAGAAGGAAATTTCAGCAAGCTAGAAAACCATATGATGTTAGAGATGTTATTGAACAGTATTCACAAGGCCACCTTAATATGATGGTCAGAATAAAGGTGAATAACCAGCAATTGACAAAATAAACAGTTTTAAATTTGAAATAATAGATTGATTATTTTGCCTATTTTCTTCTAGGAATTACAACGTCGTTTAGATCAAACCCTTGGTAAACCTGGTAGCTATTTAGCAGGAATTGATCGAGTTGGAAATGTAAGGCCTATGACAATGGGGGCACGTCTTTACAGAGTAGAGCAACAATTGTCAGAAATGGATAGAAAATTGGACAGGTTGCTTCAGGTGTTAGAAAATGATGATGCGAAAATATGAAAACGGAGGTGTAGAGGGATGAGAATTTACAAGATAAGTTTTCTTGCTTTATGAAATTCATATATTAGCAAATGCAAAGCATCAAATAATTTGAATCATTAGATTACTTTTTATAATTTTTTATTGGTATGATTGCGAGTATTAAAATATGTGATAAGCAGGAATCTTTAGAATATATTATACAAATATATCAGTGATGTGTCAATTTGAAAATTTCCTGATTCAAATCATTCGAATCAACTAAAATTAAAGACAAAAACAAAACCCTTTAATGTGTTGATTTAGAAAATGTAATCAAATTTTATGATTAAAATAGTTGAGTTCAATCTTCATACTGGACTAAATAAAGAATGAAAAATTATTTACTATCGAACAAATATATTACAAAAATTATTAAAAATGATGTAACTTTGAAGATGATTGAGATATATTCTAATATAGATAGATTTGAATCAGGTCGTTAAGGGCTTGATTCGAATGATTCGAATCACTTGATTTGATTTGGCATATCACTAATAATATATACATATATATATAACACCTCTGTCAGGTTAAATCACGTTTTTTATTTTATTTTGCATTTGCTAATATATATTATAATAATATATAGCATATGCTATGATTAATTTTTTATATGTGAACTAATAATTGGTGAACTATATATAAAGATATATAGATGTGTGCTTAACTGATCCTCAATAATCTGAATATTTATCAAATAGCTACACAATTCAAATGAATTTGTTAAAGTACAAGGTTAATAATTTAAGTCCTAAATTGGCAAATATAGGACTTAAATAATATAATTGTCTTAAGTTGCAATTTTTTTTTTTTGAATTCTTGGTTTGAAAAGCTATTTTCATATCAACATATTATAATAGGACCTATTTATACATTTCAGTTATTCTAATTATTGAGGTTTCATTGCACATATATTTTTACACACATATTTCAGGAAATTATTCTTGAAAACTAACTGCATTATATAAAATTTCATTTACTCTAATCATATTGTGAGAAAATCTTATCTGAAAAATAAGATTTTTTAGCATGGACACAAATGCTTGAATTCTCATTACCGATGCATTGAAAGTTTGTAAGTGATCTCTGATAAATATTGATTTTATGAAATAATATTACCTAAACATAAAAATTTCTTTAATTAAATGATATTATCGATCTCTGAATATTGCACGATTTATGAAATGATATTAATGATATACTTACTTGGAATAAACTTTTGCTCTAAGGGGTTATGCAATACTAAATAATTTAAAGTAAGCAACTAACAATTAAACTTAATCTTAGTTAATTATTTTTTCTCTAATGTACATTATTGTAGATTTGATAGGTTTTATAATATTTTTAAGCGAATTTAATATTGGCAAATTTTTAAGTTCCTGAATAAGAATATGAATTATATTTTTGATTATATGAAATGACGAAAGTATTCTATTGAAATTTTAATATAGATGCTTTAATTATTTTGGAAATGGGAATAAATTTCAATGTATTATACGGAAATATGAACAGTGCCATTACAGCACTTTAAATTAAGATAATTAACATAAAATAGTGATAAATATTATTAATTATGATAAATTTAAGAATATATTCCAGTTCTTTCATTATGATAAATTGCTTAGATGATATTTTTATGAGAAAAGAAAGAATTAAAACGGCAAAATTCGTTCGAAGAAAATATTATGCACTAGTGGAATCAAAAAATATTTTTTCTTCAAGTTATGATTCCTCGTAATTAAGAAAAATGTATAGATATATAACGATTGCTATTTTCAAAATTTGCGTGTTTTTGTTAATATTTGACTCTGTAAATATAGAACAAAGATCGTTTTGCTCTTTATGGCAGTTGGTATAGTAGATTTGAAAAATTATGAAATTTGATCAAATATTCATTATAATAGTTATAGATGAAAATATTTCCTTAACTAGGGTTGTGACAATACCAGTCTGTGAAAGCTTGACCTGATGATTTACATATTCCATTTTGCAAATATTTTTGCGTCTATTGAAGAGTCCTTTTAGAGGTCAATGATTTTTTAAAGTATAGAACACTTTAATAATTTCTCTCATTTTTATACTGGGTTATATCATGTTGGCAACTAAGCAAGTGCGGATTTTTATTAGAAAATCGAAAACATTTTTTTCATGGAACTAAATAACATTATTCTGCAATGCATTGCTCATTTTTAACAAGTCATCTTGCAAGTATCGTCATTATTGCACTTTCATAAAACAATTATTAGCAAAAAACTGAATCACATATAGTTTGACACCGTCATATGAGGACTTTTGTACAGATCGAAATAAAAATGGTACAGGACTATATGGTGGATGTGGTAAAACATCCCAACCAAACTCCAGTAATTTTTGCAGACTAGCCACAAATGTAATGTGATGTCAATAATTAGTTTTTATTCGACTGCGTTGTTTAATTTCGTTAGTTGCTCAATGTAGACATCGGAATTGATCATTCGATTGAATGGCAAGAGTAAAAGTAGACAATTTCTTTGTAATCAACTTCAACTGGACGAGCATAGTTTTTCATCTTTATCACCATGATCATCTCATAACTGTTTGTGAGCTTATGAAACCTTCGCAGAAATCAAAAAACCAAAATATGAAAAGAAAATCGATTTAATTTTCCGTCTTTCAACGAAAGCCAAAGGAAAACTACGCAATCGATAAAAAAATGTTTTTGCTAATTGATACCTAGAACTTTTGATGAAACCGTTTAAGAGTGAAAGCCGCCCTTACTTAGTTGCCCAAATACTTTAAATACCAAAATAATTTAAAAGTAAAGTTACATAATATATTTTTATTAAACTATTTATAATTGTTTTTCCAGCCAATTAATTATAAGTAACGTTTGATATTTACAATATCAAAATTCTAACTATACTGCTTAAAGTATTAGCAGGAAGATTTATATCGGTTCAAATAATGCGAATTTGTGACCTAATTAATATTGTAAAAACATTATGAACGTTTTCAATATAATATAATGATTTAATTTTTCAATAACGAAAATTAAATTGGCACAGTGGAATAGGTAAACATAAATACTCCTTTTGTGAAGTATTTTTAACTCATTTATATTGATTCTATAACATTTGCAAATGATTATACTCAAATTGCAATTGAAATTCCATAATTACTGCAATTGAACAACAAAATATGAAAAGTATTATATAATTTAATAATCGTTATATTCGGCATAATTATTTGCAAATGTTATTCATTTGTTCTCATATATTGTAAGATAACTTTACATAATAGATTTCTAGTGATACAAGAATAGTAGTGCTTAGCGGAACAAATTCAATAAAAATATATAGCTCTGTAAATATTTTGTAGAAACTAAGAAAAACTAGTGATAATTACTTTAAGTAGTGATTTGCTAACTTTGACTAAAAGACTTTCTTGAACTATACTATAATTAGTGCCTCTCTATAGATGTAGTTTGTAAAAATGATATATTGGAGAACGCGCCGAACTTTTGTTGCTAATATTTTTTGTTCGATCTTAAGAGTTTTATATATATATATATATATATATATATATATAATAAATTTGGTCTAATAATTTCTATTATGTTGCCTATGATAAATAAGTTTAAATTAATTAATTTTCGAAGCCATTCGAGACAATCATCTAAGAATCTACAATATGTGTAATATTTTAAGCCAACTTTAAATATTTCTAATCATTTTGCACTTTTGAATATGAAACACAAATGTAACATTAGCGTTACATTCAAAATTGCAAAATAGTTGAATTTATAAAATTATATTCTGTTTGCTTGCTACTAGCAACTCTGAACCAATGATCCTTGCATCAATTTATTTTATTCATGTGGATTTCGGTGGGATTTCTATAGTACTATATGGTTTATGGGTTTCAAATTGATATACAATGTATTATTCTAATATCTAATAGGGGCCTTTTAAGTAAATGCTTTTCGTACAAGCATATAGAAGGACCAGTTTTATCAATGAAGATAAGCCATATCAAAATTTATATAAACGTTCAATGTCGAAAAATATTCATATCTTGAGTTTGGAGATTTAGATTTAAACTAACTGCTTGTTAATTTTCTATCAGGTCTAATTTATTTAGTTGGGGAAGTACGTTCAAAATGGTACATGTGGACAAAATGACACTTATTTAATAGTTGGCTAGTTCTAGTAACGTTTTCGAAACTGTATAATATGAAGAAAGCAAGAATCACAATTCTGTCAAATGTTGAGCGTCATTGTCATAGTCTTGTCGAAGTAATCAGTTCAAACGTTCATTGCACCGTCAAAGGTTTATTTTGAGGGTTGTTTTCTCGTGTTTGTAAAGGACGTTTATATTGTTATTTGCGATTATTTCTATTAATATCAATGAACTTATGCTAGTACTAGTGATATAGATTAATTTTATTGCAATCATAAGGGGCCGTTCAAGTATTACGTAAACACTATAGGTGGGCGGGGGCGTCGTTGATTTTCTTATTTTGGGTTGACATGGGGGGCAGGGGAATCTGGATGATGATTACGTCATAGGGTGTATTTTTATTTTTTTACATTAATTGCAAAATGTTTACGTAAGCATGGGGGTAGGGGGTAAGAGCTTTGGTTGTTGCTTTGGGGATGGGGGGGGGTAAATAATTGAAATAAATCTGCTTACGTAATACTTGAACGATCCCTAAGGTATTTTAAGAAATTTTTACTGTTTATTTATTTTTGTTCACTTTCTGACAAAATACAATGGACAAATTGACATAGTACGATTTTGCCAGAACTACATAGGGTAGTTTATCGAAAACAAGAAAAAATTAAATTGAAACCTGCCAAAGGTTTGCAACTTCTGCTTAATAATTGGTGTGTAGAAAAAGATCAGTCCATATAGTGTAACACTATAGTTCCTGGATAGACCTTATAATATATAATACGATTTTAACAGGTGGATTCAATTTTATGTACATTTATTTCACAGGGGCA